TTGCCAAACACTCCATATCCAGGCTCTCAAGCATTCTCCACTCACAATCCCGTCTCTTTGACCCTTCTCTTACAGAATGTGACCCTTGCCTTTGGTTTTCTGCCCACATTTGAGGACTTTTGGGTTTGTATGTACCCCTCTACTTAGCCAAGATCCCATGATCAGATAGATCAATAATGCTCTAGATCAAATGTAGGTAATGCCGACCTCACCTGGAGAACATAGGAGACGAGACCACTGAGCCCCGCCCTGCAATGTTCCTTTATTAGGTCTCAGGTAGAGGCCCGAGGATCTGCATTCCCTAGTGCTGATGCTATAGGCAGTCACGTCGCACTGTGCAAGCACTTTTCTGAACAGTACCCTGGAGTCTTCTGCCTCCTTGATCTGAGAGGTTCTTTTGTCAAGCCTCATTTTTTTTTTTCCCATTCTCAGGCCACACAGACAAAAGTGAGAGACATAAAACCATGCAGTTTGGGTTTTCTACAATGAGCACTCTGTCCTCAGTCAGGCCTTGCACATCTCTCACAGCAGACACTCTCATCAGTCACTAGCACTGCTACAGACTCTTCAAACCCTCAATCCCACCAGTTTCCCTTCGCTATGATCAAAATATTTTATTTATTTTCATTCTCAATTTGTCCCCTAGCATGCATGGCTGAGTATTTTCATTCCTTTTTTTTTTTTCTTTGACATCAAAAGGAAGATCTTCTCTCTTTCAAAGCTAACCGTTCTAAGGGGGACTACAGGAGGAGTATTGGAGAGAGGAGGCTCCATAAACTTTTCATGCCACATTTTTCCTATGGGAAAATTATTCAAATGTTCTGAGTATCTTTTTATAAATAAAGATCAATTATATTCTGAATTCAGCAAGAAAACACTACACTAACAATTCTCAGTGCTTATATTATAAATACTATATGCCTAACAATTATAGTAACATAACATATAAAGCAGATAATTATAGCAAGTTACAAAATAGCACTTTGTTACTTAAACTGATTCAAGTTTACAGAAATAACTCTAAGGGGTTTAATATTATTTTAATGTTATTTCAACTCATGCATTGTTTTTCAGAATGATCTTCGTTATTCTATCAGTCATCTGGTATTAAATAAAAAACATATTAACAAGTTCTCATATTTTCAAGTTTATTGTAATTTCTATAGCAAATTCTTTTTGTCACATAATAGTTTAATGATATAAAAGTAGCACATCAATTTAGGACCTCATTGTAAAATATGTTATCTTATCATCTGAACCTTCAGCAAATTAATCCAATACAATTATTACCTCCAAAACGAAAGCATCTTTTTTTCCATGTGAAAGGTCTAATTCTGTAACTTCATCAGAACTTTCTGACTGAGATCTTAAAAGTCTTGAACGTTGTCTGGGTTCTGGGATAGGGGATCCTATAATTTCTTCAGATATCTCCTAAAAGAAAAATAATTGTTTTATGTATGAGTCTGAGTTTTCTAGTTTGGTTTTAACTTTTTTTTTTACTTATAGATGACTTCCTGTGGAAAAACGGTCTTTTCCCAAAGAAAAAAATATTTTCAAAGAAGTCTATATTTAAGTTTATATAGACTTAAATAAAAGATACAAGCATGGGAACCAGCAGTTAGCGTAATGGCTATGTCGCTGGACTCCCACGTAGTCGACCGCGGTTCGTGTCCCGGACCCGGTGGCTTAAAACTCACGCCGGGCACGTGTGCGTGCGTGCCCAAGATCCCGAGAGGAGAATGGAGGAGAAGGGATTGCGGCGTGACCATCCCCCCTGGGGGGTGATTTCTCGCTTTCTGTCTCTATGTCTCTCTCTGTCTGTCTGGCGAGCGCACGCGCCCTACAGTGAAAATCTCTCCAAAAAAAAAAAAAAAAGTTTCCTTTATCCATGATAAAAGTCTTATTGTTAGACTAATCAAGAAACATACATGTAACTGTCAAAGACAAAACAAGGCAAAACTGACATCTAGTGTACAGGGAGGACACTACAGCAAGCTCAGAAATCCAGCACTCCTGGCTATCCTTAATTCCAATTTAAGGGAAAAAAATTTTAAATAATTTTTAAGTATACATATATATGTGTGTGTGTGTGTGTGTGTGTATGTGTTTTTTTTTATATATATATAAAGAGAGAGAGAGAGATTTATTTAAACATATATATGAAAGAAAGAGACACTCACTGGAGGGCAGGGGACGGGTAATAAGGGCATCCTCCACAGTCTGGTCACTCTGCCATCTCCTTTCCCAAGCTCTCCAGCTCCTCAGGACGCTGGGCATCTACCTGGGGTTCTGCACCTGCGGTTAACCATGTGACTTCCAGCTCTGAGGGTACTTGAGTTACCACTGTACCACAGTGGCTGGGCCTACTCCACAACTAAAAGTCTTAACAGGCCATAAATATTTAAAGATGTACATCCTCAGATTTTTTTTTTCAAAAAAAGGTTTTTGCCAAAGGGCATGTGAGCTCAGCAGAGAGAAAGAGAGGTGAGAGGGAAAGTGAGAAATAACCCCCCCCCGGGGGGGGATAGCCACATAGCAATCCCTGCTTCTCCGTCCTCCTCCTGGGATTTTGGGCACGTATGCACACGTGCCTAGTGTGAATTTTCAAGCATCCGGGTCTGGGACTTGAGCAAGAGTCAGCAATGTGGGAGTCCAACCATACGCATCACACCACTTGCTGGCCCCCAGAAAGAATTTTAATCTAACAACAACAAAAGAAAACTATCATTTTTTACAGCTGCCAATAGTAAAATATAAAATATGATAAATGTATGTTTATATAAATACATAGGTTATGCATGTGTTTTCTATACAACTTATTAAGCTAAATAAACTTTGCTAATTACAATAATGATCTTCCTAGGAGTTTGTGATCTATTACATGCCCAATGGTAACAGCAAACGAGATTTTCTACACGTGTTGCTCACAAAGAGTATTGGAACAATGTCCATATGTTAACATGAACACAAAGGTTTTAGATTTTTGGTAGTGTTGCCTATTGTTGGCAAAATGGAGTTATCTTTTCATAAAACAAGAAAATTAAAAGTTTTTTAAGAATATAGTTTTGTTGGGACCAGCAGGTGGCATGGAGGTTACGGCACTGGATCCCACTGGCTGACTGCATGGTTCAATTTCCAGACCTGGCAGCTTGAAAATCATGCTGGGCATGTGTGCATGTATGTCCAAAATCCCAAGAAGAGACTGGACAAGAAAGGACTACAGTGTGGTCATCATCCTGGAGGGAATGATTTCTCACTTTCTCTCTCTCTCTCTTTTTGGTGAGTACACATATCCTATAGCAAAATGAAAAAAAAAAAAAAAAAAAAACTAAAATACAGTTTTGTGGGGTTTTTTCATCACATAAGGAAGCATGTATTAGAGGTTTATCATGAAATCATACAAATAAAATTTGTATAAACACAAAATCCACATTAAATCATAACACAGATTACAAAGGACAAAGTAAAAAACAAAACTAATTGGTGGCTGTGGTGCATGTGCTTATCAGCAAGTAAGGAAGAAGGAAAAGCACCACCCACTGAGGTGTGGACATGCTACAATCCCTTCTCTATTTCTCCATCTTGCTGGGATTTGGGGCATGCATGTAGATGCCCCTGGCATTTTTTTTTTTTTTTTGAGAAGTTTTTGCTATAGAGCGCGTGCGCTCACCAGAAAGACAGAGAGAGAAAGAAACAGAAAGTGAGAAATCACCCCCCAGCGGGGATGGCCATGTCGCAATGCCTTCTCCTCCATTCTCCTTTCAGGATCTTGGGCACGCACACACACATGCACAGTGTGAGTTTAAGCCACCAGGTCCGGGACTCGAATTGCAGTTGACTACATGGGAGTTCAGCAACATAGCCATTATGCTAACTGCTGGTCCCCACCTGGCATGTTTTTTCAAATTGCCAGGGCCAGGACCCAAATCCCAGTAGGCCATGTGGGATCTGATTCCCTTAACTACCAGGCTACAGGGTCAGCTTAGAAATAGTTTTTAAACAAATTTTTATAGTTTTTGGCACAGGGTATGTGCATGCACCAGAGACAGAGACAAAGAGAGGGAATGTGAGAAATCACCCCCATGCATGTATGCATGAGTGCCTGGTGTGATTTTTGAAGCTGCTAGGTCTGGGACTCAAATCACGGTCTGCCATGTGGAAGTCTGGTGCCTTAACCACCACGCCACCTGCTGGCCCCCCAAAGTAAGTTTTAAATGTTCATAGAAGGTGCATTATCTTAGATATAGGACTACCACTGCCCAGTCTCACGATACAACGATCTAGGGTATACTTTCACATTAATTTATCTTACTTCTACTCCAAACTAACCTGTTTTACATAAATTTGACGATGTACATATTTACAATAACTACAAAATGAGAAAAACTACAATTCAGAGTTGGTCTGTGTCTTATAATGAGTATGTGAAACCTATCTAAGGCAATTTTTTTTGTCTCTTAGTACAATATTCCCACTATTAATAGATACTATACCTCTATTTATGATTTTATAGTAGTTAAGAACTATTATGTCTCTGTTCACTAGATTTTGGCCCTAATATATGCAACTGTCTGATACTTAATACATCCCTATTCATAATGAGGTTTCATCACTAGTGCTGTTTTTCTAAACATTTAGCATTGTATTGGTATCTTTGTTATCTTTGATTATCTCTATAAAGCTCAATTAAGTCGTATGACATCCCTATATTAGAAAGATTTTTCAATATATTATGAAAAAAAAAATCAAATGTCGGCACCAGCGGGTGGCATAATGGTTATGTTAGATTCCCACGCAGTCAACCACAGTATGAATCCCAGACCTGGCAGCTTAAAACCCACACTGAGTGTATGTGTGTGTGCGTGCCCAAAATCCTGAGAGGAGAATGAAGAAGGATTACGGCATGGTCATCCCCTTGGGGGAAGATGATTTCCCGCTGGCAAGCACACGTGCTCTTATAGCAAAAAACTCTCAAAAAACTAAACAAAACAAAACCCAAATGTCCCCATTCATTTAGTCAGGGCTATTTTCCTGCAGTAAGAAACAAACACTGAACACTGTGATCTACATTCTCAGGGTGGGATACACTGCTTTACAAAACTGAAAAGACAAAACTGTAATTCATCTTGTGCACTAACTTTGTCAAATAAATTCTAAGGTGTAATTCCAAAGGACTGTAATACAGTCAGTATCTGAAATAAGGAAAGACATATACTGAAGATACATGAGCGGTTGAGTCCCTTTATGGAAATGCAGTCATCATGAATCCATATCTGCTGAAAGTTTAAACACTATAATAGATGTACTCATGCCTTTAAAATGTCAACCGTTTAACAGCTGTATTTAATAATAAGTATTTATTGACTGTACAAAGTTACTTAATACATTCACATTTTTGTTAACACAGATATGTAAACATAACTAAGTGCCAACAATGTAACAGACACCATGACTGAAGTACATACAAGCACAATAGGAGCACAGTGGAGGAAGAGTCCTCCTTCCTACAGGAGGTCAAGATGGGTTTGCAGAGTTGATAAATACTATTACACCATGTGGGAGTGGCCCGCACCTTAACCACCACACCACCTTCTGGTCCCCACAAATCAATTCTTGATTGTCATGAACATTTTAAGTAGATATTTAAATATCAAAATATAATCATAAAAGAAAAATACTAGGGGTCACGTGGTGGTGCAGAATAAGATACGGCACTCTGGCAGGTAATCTCACATTGGCAGGTTCCTAGTTCAAATCCACAGACCTCCCTGAGTATGCAGGTACATGAGCGCCCAAGACCCAGGGCTGGCTGAAGGCTGGGAGTGGATCATGGAATCAGGATCTTATTGGGATGCTGTCGGTCTTCTCTCTCTTACTTATAGAAAAAAATAAATAAACTTCAAAAGGAAAAATAACTGACAAGAAACAGTCAGTCAGAAATGTGGTATATGGAGAGCTTTTACGAAGGCTATTTTTCAAATATTAGTACAGTAACACATCAGTATCTGTTTTTCTAAGAGGTATTTTTGCTACAGGGTACATGCACTCATTGGAGAGGCAGAGAAAGAGAAACTGAGAAATCACCCTTCCCCCCAGGGAGGATGGCCTTGCTGCAATCCCTTTTAGTCTATTCTTTTCTCGGGATTTTGGGTTAGCATGCACACGCGATAGGCATGAGTTTCAAGCCCCCAGGTCTGGCACTTGAACCATGGTTGGCCACGTGGGATTCTAGCACCTCAGCCACTGAGTCACATGCTCACAACAATATTTGTATTAAATTTAAATAAACTCTTAAGTTAGCACTGTTCAATAAAAACATAAAGCAAGTCACATAGGTAGTAAAGTAAAACTAAAGTGAAGTCAACTGAATAAAATATTTTAATATAGCCAAAATACTAAATGTTAAATTTATTTGATTTTATTTATCATCATTATTATTGTTTTAACCAGAGAGAGACAAAGAGAGAGAGAGAGGGAAAGTGAGAAAGCAAGGTCTGGGACTGGAAACGCAGCCGATCACGTGAGAGTCCAGCACCCATGAAGTATTTTACAGTCATTTTAATGCATTATCTTACATTTACAGCATGCCTCAATTCAGCCAGTCACATGTCAAATGCCCAACAGTCACAGGTGGCTGGTGGTGACCATACTGAACGATGCAGCTCAAATCAAGCCCTGAACTCCCTCCCAGTTTAACAACTCTACTAGAATAATATGATGAAAGTTATAAGTGAGAGTTCAGAGGAACAGGCCCAGAAGGCCAGCCAAAATCAGAGATTATGCATAAAGTAAAATAATAATTTTTTAAAATGGGACCAGCAGGTGGTAGGGTGGGTAAGGTGCTGGATCCCACTTAGTCAACTCCATGGTTTGAGTTCCAGGCCTGGTGGCTTGAAACTCGTGCTGGACACGTGTGTGTGCCCAAAATCCTGAGAGGAAAACGGAGAAGGAGGGACTATGGTGGTGTGGCCATTCCCCTGGGGAGTGATTTCTCCCTCTCTCTTCCTCTCTGGCAAGAATCCTGTATCAAATAAATTAATACTAAACAACAATATTATTCAAATGCCTCCCTTTTTTGAAAGTATTTCATTATCAGAGACTCATAGGAAGCACTGTGATACGTACTACACACTTCGTAAGAAGATTGACTACGGAAATGACTGTCAAGAGAACTGTAAAAAGGAGTTACAAATGAACAACTACATTGTTTTACTTTTTTATCCCCCGCTCAGATTTTTTCCCATAGGGCACATGTGCTAGCCAGAGAGACAGAGACAGAAAGGGAGGAAAAGTGAGAAATCCCCCCCTCAGGGGAGATGGCCATGCAGCATCCCCTTCTCCTCCATCCTCCTCTTGGGTTTCTGGGCATGCACCCACATGCGCCTGGTGTTTTTCAAGCCACTGGGTCTGGGATTCAAACTGTGGAGTTGGCCATGTGGGATCTAGTATCTTAACCACCATGCCACCTGCTAGCTCTCTTTTCATTCTTAACACAGATTAGCAATCTTTCTTTTTACTAAAACAGAACATTTAAAAACCATTCATTTAATCATTCAACAAATATTTACTGAGAAGATACTACTGTGAAGAATGTTTCTGGGCATTAGGACTATAATTCCAGTGCAGCTTCATTGCACTGATAATAACAGACAATAAAAAAAATAATAATAATAAAAACAGCATCTGTATGTATATATACACATATATACACACACATTCAGAGATAGCAAACAATGAAACAGGGAAGAAGGTGACAGCATTACCAAACATGGACAGAGGAGCTATAATTTTGCTATAGTAGGATGAGAGTAGGCGTCCCCAAAAGAAGACATTTGAGCAAAGATACAGACGTACATGAAAGAATGATTAATAGAGCTAACCTTGACATGTCCAAAATAAGATAGCCTAAAAATATACCAATATCTAAATATTTTCACAATAAAGACTTATTTTACTCACCGGAGGATTGATTTCATATAACTCTTTGTTCTTAGTGATGGTGTCATTTATCTTCTTCTGCATATGAGAAATATGCTGTTCATAGGAGCCATCATTAGGAGTCTTCCCAGCAATCTGAATACCACCAGGTGTTGGTAAAGCGGCTAAGTACACTCCTGTGGCAGACTTATAAAAATAATGGGGAAATAATCAGAAAAAAAGTAGTGCAAAAATAACAGTTCTTAAGTTTTCATATTTCGGAAAGAGGTCTTTGCTTCAGAGGAAAGATATAAGCCTCAGCATACGCATAAAATAGCTCTGGAAGTGCACACCAAACCATAACTAATAAAGATGATTTCTTCCGGGGAGGACCTGGGCAGTTGGAGGACAGCTGTAAAATAAGAATTTGCTTTCCACCGAATGCTCAATTGTACTTTCAAAATTTTTACCTTATAACTATAAAAAATAAACTACAAAAATAAATAACTTAGCAAAACAATGAGATACATGTTTTTTTTTAGAGGTTTTTCGCTATAGGGCACGTGCGCTCGCCAGACAGACAGAGAAAGACATAGAGACAGAAAGCAAGAAATCACCCCCCAGGGAGGATGGTCATGCCGCAATCCCTTCTCCTCCATTCTCCTCTCAGGATCTTGGGCACACACGCACACGTGCCCGGCGTGAGTTTTAAGCCACCGGGTCCAGGATGCGAACTGCGGTCGACTACGTGGGAGTCCAGCGACATAGCCATTACAGTAACTGCTGGTTCCCGAGATATGTTGTTTAAAAATAAATTTTTCATGAATGAATAGACTCCCTTTGATAGAGGCAAAAGTAAAAGAGGAGTGGGGAAATTAAACCTCAGCTCAGGGAACTCACTCAAGACTACTGTCAAAAAATGTAGAGGAGAAATTTGAATCTAAGTATTTCTCACCCCCAAAACCCAAGAACTTTTTTTCTGATGCACCAGAGGGTGTGTGTGCTCACTGAAGAGAGATTGAAAGAGACAAGAGAGCGAGAGAAAGTGAAAAAGCACCCCCCGTGAGGGATGACCACACCATAATCTCTTCTCCATTTCTCTTCAAAATCTTTGAATTTGAATCCAGCTCTTAGTTTGAACAGAGTAGCAAATCACCATTCACTACAGCCTGGTATTTATTTACCCAAATTACACATTTATGTTATGTCCTTGTTAAGCATGAGAATTTTTAGATCATGGAATTAAACTGAACACTTTCTTCCCAAAGTAATCTAAGTATAGAATGTTTTCATATAAGCCAGATTTACTATCATTAACTATCACAAATTTCTCATTAAGAACGTATGATACAAAACCAGTTTATCATATCACACACTTATCCCCTCCACATAGAAATTTACTCTTACAGGAAGAACAGATGAAGCAGGAAATAACTTTGCATTTTATCTATAAATGTATACTGAGAAAAAAATTCAAGTTCTACAATTCTCTTAAAATTAAATTTGTGTGCATGTTTCAAAAAGATAGAAAGAGAATACTTAATTGGAAAAGTGCTCGCACATTGATGTTTATTAGGGCACTATTCACAATTGCTAAGTCATGGAAACAACCCAAATGGCCACAAACAGATGAAGGGATAGAAAAACTGTGGCACATATACTCAATGGAATACTATTCAGCCATAAAAAAAAAACAAAACAAACAAACAAAAAAAACAGAAACCTGGCTTTTTCCATATTCATCCACAGGAAGATTCCTGTGGATGAATATGGAAGATTTACTGCTGAGTGAAGCAAGCCGGGCTATGAAGGAGAGGCACTGTATGTCCCCACTTTATACCAAGTGTCTGCACTCTATAATTGAAACTAATTGGCTAAAGGATACAGAAACACGGTATACAGTATACAGAAACACAGTATATAGTTGTAAATAACAGATATAGTGTGTGTAAAAGAGGAAGGTCTGAGGAAGGACATTTAAAAGAAAAATAGGGAGGCAAAGCATTAATGGCACAAAGAAATGTGGTATTATCTGTTGAAGATATTTTATAGTTTTCTCAACTGTACTAGGAAGAAATGTTCACCTGTTGAAATACCATTTTGTAAGCAAATAATAATGTGATTGACTGTATAAAAGAAAATGAAATTTAAAAAAATAAAATAAAAAAAAGAAAGAAAATTCCAATTTGAAAACTACCAGTGACATCAACAAAAATCCTGGCTAGTGCCTCTAATACGACAAGATTTCCGTAAATGCTGTTGATTGGATTCCATATGATCAATATATATTAATACTTTGTAGGTACCTAGTTCTCTGCTATTTAGAGAGGCAGCACTGACCTTCCCCCACTGATGTCTTTCCAGTCAGAACTCATTTTCTTTTTTGAGAGGTTTTTGCTACAGGGCACGTGCACTCACCAGAAAGACAGAGAGAGACAGAGAGATAGAAAGCAAGAAATAACCCCCCAGAGGCATGGCCACACTGCAATCCCTTCTCCTCCATTCTCTTCTTGAGATCTTGGGCAGGCACGCACACGTACCCAGTGTGAGTTTAAGCCACTGGGTCTAGGATTTGAACTGCGGTCAGCTACATGGGAGTTCAGTGACACAAACTAATTGGCTAAAGGATACAGAAACACGGTATACAGTATACAGAAACACAGTATATAGTTGTAAATAACAGATATAGTGTGTGTAAAAGAGGAAGGTCTGAGGAAGGACATTTAAAAGAAAAATAGGGAGGCAAAGCATTAATGGCACAAAGAAATGTGGTATTATCTGTTGAAGATATTTTATAGTTTTCTCAACTGTACTAGGAAGAAATGTTCACCTGTTGAAATACCATTTTGTAAGCAAATAATAATGTGATTGACTGTATAAAAGAAAATGAAATTTAAAAAAATAAAATAAAAAAAAGAAAGAAAATTCCAATTTGAAAACTACCAGTGACATCAACAAAAATCCTGGCTAGTGCCTCTAATACGACAAGATTTCCGTAAATGCTGTTGATTGGATTCCATATGATCAATATATATTAATACTTTGTAGGTACCTAGTTCTCTGCTATTTAGAGAGGCAGCACTGACCTTCCCCCACTGATGTCTTTCCAGTCAGAACTCATTTTCTTTTTTGAGAGGTTTTTGCTACAGGGCACGTGCACTCACCAGAAAGACAGAGAGAGACAGAGAGATAGAAAGCAAGAAATAACCCCCCAGAGGCATGGCCACACTGCAATCCCTTCTCCTCCATTCTCTTCTTGAGATCTTGGGCAGGCACGCACACGTACCCAGTGTGAGTTTAAGCCACTGGGTCTAGGATTTGAACTGCGGTCAGCTACATGGGAGTTCAGTGACACACAGCCATTACGCTAACTGCTAGTCCCAGAACTCATTTTCTAACAAGTCAAAGTGAACATGAAGCTGAGATAGAGCTTTTCCATGTCTTACATTTTATCAACAGTTAAGAAACGCAGTTTATTACAAATTTTATTGTTTGCTACAAGTACACATTTATGATGAAGCTTAATTCTCTGTACAATAGGCAGTGTCTCATATGTTTTGCTTTACTTTCCCCATTAAACTAAAGATCACTTTAGCCTGGTGGTCCTTCTCCAGGGACTTTTTGTCCCCCAGATGACATTTGGCAATGTCTGGAGAAATATTTGACTGCCACAACTAGAGGGATGCTACCAGCATTGAGCAGGCAGAGGCTAGGGATGCTGCTAACCATCCTACAATGAACAAGGCAGATGCTGCAACAAACAGGTATCCTGCTCCAAATATCGACCGTGCTGAGATGGAGAAAATGTTTAACAACATATGCACAAGAAAGCACAAAACAACAGTGGTCAACTTACTAAACAAGCTACAAACAGTTTTTAGAAATATGTCCATGGGTTATGGTCATAGTCCCTTTAAAATATATAAATGCCTGTGACTTCTTAAAATGTCCCTAATCCTGGGGCCACAGGTGTCATGGTGGTTAAGGGCAGTGGATCTCACATAGTAGACTGCCCTGTTCCAGTCTCAGAGCCTGGGCTTGAGAAATATGCTGGGCACATGTGTGTGCATGCTCAAAATCCCAAGAAGGAGGAGGAGAGGGTACTGTAGATGTGGCCCTCGCCCTGACAAACTTCCCCTACCTGTGTTTCTATCTTTCTGATGAGTGACTGCATGCAACCTATGGCAAAAATGAAAAAAAAAAAAAAGAAAAAAAAAGTCCCCAGTCCTTAGAGACCTTGATGTCAGCTATCAGTTTTTTTTAAGATAAAGTTTTTTCAAAATATTCTTTAGACCACATAAAACAGAATCTACTACAAGTACAGAAATCCCAGAACACAACCAAAAACATCAAACTTACCGCTAACCCCATCAACATGTTTTCACCCACTGTGATCTGAATTCTCAGTCCAAACAAAGCATTCATTCCTTTGAGCTTCAGCTTATTCATTAGCTGCGTATGTACTTCATATTCCATAAATGGCAAGAGATTACTGATAGCTGTAGCATTTGCTTCTGCCTGTGCTTTCTTTTTTAAGCGACACAACCTGTTAAGGAAAATAATTTAAGACCAGCAGTTAGCGTAATGGCTATGTCACTGGACTCCCACATAGTCAACCACGGTTTGCATCCCGGACCCAGTGGCTTAAAAAACTCACGCTGGGCACGTGTGCATGCGTGTCTAAGATCCCGAGAGGAGAATGGAGGAGAAGGGATTGCGGTGTGGCTATCCCCCATGGGGGGTGATTTCTCACTTTCTGTCTCTCTGTCTCTTTTTGTGTCTGGCAAGCACATGCGCCTTATAGCAAAAACCTCTAAAAAAAAAAAAAAAAAAAAAGGGAAATAATTCAGTTGAGCCATCTAAAGAAATGCTGAGTTTTTAAAATTTTCTAAAAGTGTGCTTCATTCTATGTTTACTTGCTTAAATGGGCTTATTAATTCTTAGAAATAATCTTTTCTGCCATTGTTATCATTGTAAAAACCACTTCTTAAAGCCTTTCTTCAATAAACAAAAATGACCTCAACATCTTTAGAAATAAAATAGAAATCAAAATCACCCAACAGTTTAATTCAAAATCAGGTTTCATGATTGCACATGATTATAGGATGGATGGGTGACAGAGGAAAACATTACTTATTAAAAGAATGTTAAGAGTCATTTAAAAATCTACTATGTACAAGAGAGGCTACCGTAAGAGATAATAGTTAAACCAATAGATTATTTCTCAATAGTAGCAATGAAAGCCAGAAGGTAGTAGTGGAAGGGTTATCTTCAATGTGCTGAAAGAAAGCAACTGCTAAATATCTTTCAAATATAAAGTAAAATAAATACACTTTGTTCAGGCAAACAAAAACAGTTACTAACAAACCCAAAACAAAAGCCAAAGAAAAATAATCCCAATGGAAGATGAAAAGGGAAGAAAGGCAATAAAAGAAAATGAATTCACAATACATTTCACAAGAAAGCTCAACATGATTTTATAATAAGTTTGATGTGGAAAGGTTGGAAAAGAGGATAATATCAAATAATACCAAATTTGGCATGAAGAACTGGACAGAGAAAAGTATATTTTATTAAAATGAAAAGGGCTGGGACCAACAGGTGGCATGGTAGTTAAGGGGCTGGACTCCCTAATAGCCGATCACAGTTTGAGTCCCAGACCGGGTGACTTGAAAGTCTCACTGGGCATGTATGCATGCATGCCCAAAATCCTGAGAGAAGAATAAAAAAGGGACTGTGGCATGGCCATCCTCCGTAGGGGGTAATTTCTCATTTCCCTCTGTCTCTCTCAAGCAAGTACGCATGACCTAAGGCAAAAATCTACACACAAGAAAAGGAAAGGTCTAATAAGGAACAAGTGGCAGGGCCAGCGTGGGGTGGTGGTTAAGGGTACTGGACTCCCACATGGCTGACCATGGTTCTGGTTCGAGTCCTGGACCTGGCGGCTTGCTTTCTCTCTTTCTTACTTTCTTCCTCCCAACCTTGGTCAAATTGAAATAAATAAATAAATTTAAATAAAATAATTCTTTAAAAAAAAAAAAAAAACAAGTGGAGACTACTGGCAGTTCGGTTTGGAACAAGTATGACATGTCCATGACACATTAAAATGGGATGTGAAATAAACAGGTATATGGGTCAGATGTTCTGAAGTTCTTTTTTTTTAAGAATTATTTACTTATGGGACCAGCAGTTGGTATAATGGCTATGTCACTGGATTCCCACATAGTCAACCACAGTTCAAGTCCCAGATTCGCTGGTTTAAACTCACAGCGCTTGTGCATGCATGTCCAAGATCCCAAGAGAGGAATAGAGGAGAAGGGACTGCAGCATGGCCAACCTCCCTGAGAGGTAATTTCTCGCTTTCTGTCTGTCTTTCTGGCAAGCACACTCACCCTACAGTAAAAACCTCTCAAAAAAAAAAAAAAAAAGAATTATTTACTCATTTAATTCCATTTTATTCTTAATATTTTTAAAATACAACCAGAGAGAGAAAAAGAGAAAAAGCTAGTCGTCAGGTCCAGGACTCAAACCACAGGCAACCATGTGGGAATTGGTGCCTTTGACCACCATGCCACCTGCTATTCCTGAAATAAGTTCTGAACTAGACTTAGATATGTGGGAATTCAAAACAAACAGCATATAAGTTTACTTGAGTGGATGAGGTCAACCAGGGAGGAAGCTTTGGGAAGAAAGTCTAAACCCAAACCCTTTGTCTCTAGGAAAAGAAAGTCAGTAAGAAAGCGAAAGACTATGCAGAAACGTACCAAAAAAAAGAAAAGGCATAGGATTATGAAGTCAAAGGAATTTTAGGAAGAAAAAGACCAGTTGCCACTACTGTTGAGATGTCAAGAAGAGGACAGAAATGCACACTGGGCATGCCTACATTATGTTGAGTGAAACAATCCAGGCACAGAAAGAGAAATACCACATGTTCTCCCTCATATGTGGAAATTGGAAAAAAAAAAAAAAGAAAAGAAAAGAAAAGAAAAAGAAACCTCACAGAAACAGAGAGAATAACATTAGAAATAACATTTGAGGATGGGAAGGATGAGGGGGTATGAGGGCAAATATACAGATGTTGACTGATGGGAACAAAAGTATACATTACTAAAAGGAATAATTTCTAGTGTTATTAAATAAAACAGGGAGAATACAGTTAACAATGTAAACATATATCTCAGAATAACTAAAATGTGGATTTTGAAAGTTCCCAACACAAAGTAATGACAAATGGTTGGGATGATACATGCATCAATTGCCTTGATTTAATCATTATAGATTGTATTCTTACCCTGAAAAATCACATGGTACCCTCAAAAATATGCATAATTATTATACATTAATATAAAGGAAAGAAAGAAATGGATTCAATAACCTGGCAGTTGTTGGTAGACTAGACAGTTACAGTTGTTTTCTGTATGCCTTCCACAGGCATCCTACTCTAGTGCATTTTAAAAGAAATTCTTAATAGCAAATTGTATTAAAAGAAACAGAAATCACTGTTCTACCAAAAAAAAAAGTAAATTTCCAAAACATGTTATATGTTTAATGTCCTGAAAGTAGTCTATAAGGAGTCCCTGCCTGTGGCAAGGCTACCTAATAATCCCCATAACAAACATGTGTACAGAATTTAATGATTAAAATCTGATTTTGCATCTAAATATATTTGAGTCTTACACAGAAGTATCTTTCCTCCCAAATTTTACATGCAATAAAATATTGGGTTCAGACAGAGTTCTTGAATTGTCTATGATCAAACAGGTTGAAAACAGTGGAGCCGATATTTAGAAACAGGTTTGTGACTCCATAGCTCATGCTTCTCAGGGATCTCAAACACAGTTTACACAAACATACCTTGCCTGTATAAGACAACCTTTTCCAATAACGGCTGCATCTGTTGGGAGGTCTATGGTTGTAAAGAGAACATCAGGAACTTTTTGTTTCCTGCAGTTATAGCAATATGTAAGATGAGCTGGAAATGGCATATTCAGTTCATCATACGGTATATGGCAAAATCCACAGCCTGCAGGCAAATTTTCTTCGAGCCTATGTAAATACATGAAGAAAAAAAAATAAGGCATTCTTGAAAACCTATGAATTTTTTTCAGAAATGGGAATCACTTATATAGTAATTATACATAACCTACAATAGCAGGTTTTAAGAGGACCACTGTGATTGGTTAAGAATTACAAATGACCATGAAATCAGAATCATACATTTGTCCTATGAGAGAAAAGGCTTAAACAAGTAGAAAGTCACTTTGTGCCAATTCATATGTTTGAGTTCTCTCTGAAATACAAAATAAAACAAATGGTTGGAAGGTAAGGGTGACATTTTCCTAGTGACTGACTAATAAAACCTTAAAAAACTTCCTAAGGATATATGTTTAACCAGGGGCAAGATGGTGACACAGTGGTAAAATTAGATGCTCTGTAAAGCAATCTCATGTGAAAAGGTTCCCAGTTCATGTCCAGAACTTCCCTGACAATACCAGGCATGTGCTATGATCCAGGCTTGCTAAAGCCTGGAGGGCTTCAGAAAATTTTGGTGGGTATTGTCTTTCTGTCTCTTTCTGTCTCTCTAACTCATGGAAGAAATAAATAAACAGGGGCCAGCAGGTGGCATGGTGGTTGAGACACTAGAATTCCACACGGTTGACCACAGTTCAAGTCCCAGACCTGGAGGTATGCTTTCTCTTTCTCTCTCACATCAAGCTGAAGAATAATAATGACTTTTAAAAAATAAGTAAACTTTAAAAAGTGCTTAACCAAACTTCCTAACAATTTGAAAACTATTTAATGTGAAAATGAATGTATTTAAAATGAAGAAAAAGGCCCTGCCTGGTGGCACAATTAACACCCAAAAGAACTGCAGTGCTAGCAGGCTTCAGTCCAGGGTGTGCTTGATCCCTGGGTCAGTCTGAAAACACGTACACACGTGCCCAAATCCTGATGAGCTGCAGGACTAGGGAAATGGCATCCTGGTATGGTGAGATCTTGTCAAGGGTGCTTTTCTCTTTTACTCTTTCTCTCTCTCTCTTATACACACACATACTTTCTATCACAAATAAAACAATTTTTAAAAACTTATTTAAAAGTAAGTCAAGGGGCCAGCAGGTGGCCTGGTGCTTAAGGGCACTGACTCCCACATGTCCAACCATGGTTTGAGTCCCAGACCTGGCAACTTGCTTTCTCACTTTCTCTCTCTCACTCTGTCCCTCTCTGGGCAAATTTAAATAAGTAAATAAATGAAGTTAAAATAAAAATAATATTCCTGAAATAAGTTCTGAACTAGACTTAGATATGTGGGAATTCAAAACAAACAGCATATAAGTTTACTTGAGTGGATGAGGTCAACCAGGGAGGAAGCTTTGGGAAGAAAGTCTAAACCCAAACCCTTTGTCTCTAGGAAAAGAAAGTCAGTAAGAAAGCGAAAGACTATGCAGAAACGTACCAAAAAAAAGAAAAGGCATAGGATTATGAAGTCAAAGGAATTTTAGGAAGAAAAAGACCAGTTGCCACTACTGTTGAGATGTCAAGAAGAGGACAGAAATGCACACTGGGCATGCCTACATTATGTTGAGTGAAACAATCCAGGCACAGAAAGAGAAATACCACATGTTCTCCCTCATATGTGGAAATTGGAAAAAAAAAAAAAAGAAAAGAAAAGAAAAGAAAAAGAAACCTCACAGAAACAGAGAGAATAACATTAGAAATAACATTTGAGGATGGGAAGGATGAGGGGGTATGAGGGCAAATATACAGATGTTGACTGATGGGAACAAAAGTATACATTACTAAAAGGAATAATTTCTAGTGTTATTAAATAAAACAGGGAGAATACAGTTAACAATGTAAACATATATCTCAGAATAACTAAAATGTGGATTTTGAAAGTTCCCAACACAAAGTAATGACAAATGGTTGGGATGATACATGCATCAATTGCCTTGATTTAATCATTATAGATTGTATTCTTACCCTGAAAAATCACATGGTACCCTCAAAAATATGCATAATTATTATACATTAATATAAAGGAAAGAAAGAAATGGATTCAATAACCTGGCAGTTGTTGGTAGACTAGACAGTTACAGTTGTTTTCTGTATGCCTTCCACAGGCATCCTACTCTAGTGCATTTTAAAAGAAATTCTTAATAGCAAATTGTATTAAAAGAAACAGAAATCACTGTTCTACCAAAAAAAAAAGTAAATTTCCAAAACATGTTATATGTTTAATGTCCTGAAAGTAGTCTATAAGGAGTCCCTGCCTGTGGCAAGGCTACCTAATAATCCCCATAACAAACATGTGTACAGAATTTAATGATTAAAATCTGATTTTGCATCTAAATATATTTGAGTCTTACACAGAAGTATCTTTCCTCCCAAATTTTACATGCAATAAAATATTGGGTTCAGACAGAGTTCTTGAATTGTCTATGATCAAACAGGTTGAAAACAGTGGAGCCGATATTTAGAAACAGGTTTGTGACTCCATAGCTCATGCTTCTCAGGGATCTCAAACACAGTTTACACAAACATACCTTGCCTGTATAAGACAACCTTTTCCAATAACGGCTGCATCTGTTGGGAGGTCTATGGTTGTAAAGAGAACATCAGGAACTTTTTGTTTCCTGCAGTTATAGCAATATGTAAGATGAGCTGGAAATGGCATATTCAGTTCATCATACGGTATATGGCAAAATCCACAGCCTGCAGGCAAATTTTCTTCGAGCCTATGTAAATACATGAAGAAAAAAAAATAAGGCATTCTTGAAAACCTATGAATTTTTTTCAGAAATGGGAATCACTTATATAGTAATTATACATAACCTACAATAGCAGGTTTTAAGAGGACCACTGTGATTGGTTAAGAATTACAAATGACCATGAAATCAGAATCATACATTTGTCCTATGAGAGAAAAGGCTTAAACAAGTAGAAAGTCACTTTGTGCCAATTCATATGTTTGAGTTCTCTCTGAAATACAAAATAAAACAAATGGTTGGAAGGTAAGGGTGACATTTTCCTAGTGACTGACTAATAAAACCTTAAAAAACTTCCTAAGGATATATGTTTAACCAGGGGCAAGATGGTGACACAGTGGTAAAATTAGATGCTCTGTAAAGCAATCTCATGTGAAAAGGTTCCCAGTTCATGTCCAGAACTTCCCTGACAATACCAGGCATGTGCTATGATCCAGGCTTGCTAAAGCCTGGAGGGCTTCAGAAAATTTTGGTGGGTATTGTCTTTCTGTCTCTTTCTGTCTCTCTAACTCATGGAAGAAATAAATAAACAGGGGCCAGCAGGTGGCATGGTGGTTGAGACACTAGAATTCCACACGGTTGACCACAGTTCAAGTCCCAGACCTGGAGGTATGCTTTCTCTTTCTCTCTCACATCAAGCTGAAGAATAATAATGACTTTTAAAAAATAAGTAAACTTTAAAAAGTGCTTAACCAAACTTCCTAACAATTTGAAAACTATTTAATGTGAAAATGAATGTATTTAAAATGAAGAAAAAGGCCCTGCCTGGTGGCACAATTAACACCCAAAAGAACTGCAGTGCTAGCAGGCTTCAGTCCAGGGTGTGCTTGATCCCTGGGTCAGTCTGAAAACACGTACACACGTGCCCAAATCCTGATGAGCTGCAGGACTAGGGAAATGGCATCCTGGTATGGTGAGATCTTGTCAAGGGTGCTTTTCTCTTTTACTCTTTCTCTCTCTCTCTTATACACACACATACTTTCTATCACAAATAAAACAATTTTTAAAAACTTATTTAAAAGTAAGTCAAGGGGCCAGCAGGTGGCCTGGTGCTTAAGGGCACTGACTCCCACATGTCCAACCATGGTTTGAGTCCCAGACCTGGCAACTTGCTTTCTCACTTTCTCTCTCTCACTCTGTCCCTCTCTGGGCAAATTTAAATAAGTAAATAAATGAAGTTAAAATAAAAATAATTCTTAAAAGAAGTTGAAATAAGCATACTCTATGATTTCTATTATAAACATTTTTGAAAAACTAAAATATTGGGACCAGCAGTTGGAATAATGGCTAAGTCACTGCACTCCTATGTAGTCGACCACGGTTCAAGTCTCAGACCTGGTGGCTTAAACTCACACCAGACATGTGTGCATGCATGCCCAAGATTCCAGGAGAAGAAGGGATTGCAGCATGGCCATCTCCCCAGGGGGGATGATTTCTCACTTTCTGTTTGTCTCTCTCTGTCTTTCTGGCGAGCAGACGCATCCTATAACATAAACCTCTCCCCCAAAAAAGAAAAAAAACCTAAATATCAATTTTCTAAATTGGATACATAGCATACATAAGCCACAAGTGAATCACCCAGGTCTCCATTCATTATAAAACATTTACTGTACTATGCTATTTATGAATTTATTTTAAAAGGACTAAACATTTTTTCATTCACTACATTTGAGGAAGTCTAGACAATGGAAATGGAAAGAAAGACTCCGCAGAGAATTCCAAACTTTCACATAGGCACATCCTTCAGGGCTCTAGAAGAAATGGATCTCGATTCTCCTTAATCTAAAATAATCTATTAAAAATTGAAACTTAGCACACAAATTTAAAAAGGGAAAAATCAGAGTCAGCCAGTGGCATGGTGGTTAAGGTGGCTGGATTCCCTGTGGCTGACTGCACCGTTCAAGTCCCAGACCCCCTGGCTGGAAAAACACACCAGGTGCATGTGCGTGCATGCCCAAAATCCCGAGTGGAGAATGGAAGAGAAGGGATTGTGCTGTGTCTATCCCCCTGGGCAGTGCTTTCTCACTTTCCTTCTCTCTCTCCACCTCATTCTGCCTCTCTCTCTCTCTCTCTGGCAAACTCAAATGCCCCATAGCAAATTGAAAAAAGAAGGGGAGGAAGAGAAGTCGTACTATACTTAAGGACTTCAAAAGGCTTGCGGAAAAGTGGGATTAAAGTACGCGATTCTGTTGGTGTACAAAATTTTGAAATCCATGTATACTCTTTTCATAATATATATATTGTTTTTCACATTTTTTCATGAACTTTTGAAGACCTTCACTTCGTATATACTAGGAGATGAGCTTTCTATAGATCCTTTAGGTATTTTTTTCAGAGTATTTTTCACAATAACCCTCTAAATCACAACTCTTACATACTATTCTTTTACCATGGAGATGGCATTCAGGTTATTAAGAAATAACAGGGAAGTCAGAGAGATCTGAGTGGAACTGTGTGACCCAGACCATGTTAATCTCTCAGCACCTTCTCTGTAACACTAGATTATTTATCTAGAAAGATTTGTGGGTTTATTTGAAGATTAAATATGAAAGCTACAGCTAAACATACACCCTCAATAGCAAACAATACTACTAGACTGTTCCATTTAACCTGATACCAACCTGAGATAACTTGCCAAGTCACACTAAGTGCTAAGTCACACTAAATGCTAAGTCACACACCTCATATTTGAATTTCAGCTTGTTTGAACCCAAAGCCCATGTGTTATGAAGGGACACAAAACAATGAAAACTGGAGCAATTTATAACAAAATATCTCACACAAATTTAAACATTAGTGGTGCAACGTCATAAAGCATAAAAAAATATATATTAAAATTTATGAAGGCAGGGGCTAGCAATAGCATGGGGTTGACGTGCTGGATTCCCCCATGGCTGACCATGGTTCGAGTCCCAGAGCTGGTGGGCTTACTTTCTCACTTCCTCTCTCTCTCTCTTCTCTCTCTGGTGAGTGCACATGCCCTATGGAAAATTGAAAAAGCATATAATAAATAAATTAAATTAAATAATTCTTAGAAATAATTTTTTAATTTATGAAAGTATCTCAAATATTAAATGTACAGAAAAGCTTGCCCCTGGAACAGTGAAGTAACAGGAATTTTTTTCTTCCTTCTAGTCTTCTATATTCTCCAATGTTTTCCTAGTAAGCAGTAATGATTTCACAGCAGAAAAAAAAATGTTTTCTTCTTGTACAACTAGGGATGGCATCTGCTGTATTAGACTGCCATACCCAAGGTACAACACAGATCTAATCAAGAGCACAATGGAGAAGAAGGGGTTGTGGTGTGGTCCTTCCCTCTGAGGGGTGATTTCTCACTTTCCTTCTCTCTCATCTCGTTCTGGTAAGGAAAAAATAAAACTTCAAAAAAAAAAAAAAAAAAAGTCAAATAAAGTAATTTATGTATTGTGACAAAGCCAAGAAAATGTAACTATGAATTTTTCAACTAGTAGCCACTTACCAAGACACTAGAAACAATAATGTGTGTAATGTAGTGCAGAAACCAAGACTTCTTTCTTAATACAAATTAGTCAAAAATCAGTGAAATTCTTGGCCCTGATTTCTATACTGAGCCACAGTAGGGCACCTCACAGAGAACTATCTTGGCTCTGAGGGGTAAAAAAAAAGTCCATGTTTCCCCTCCCTGCCCTTAAAGAAAATAAGCCAGGCTGCCATGACAACCTCTGTTCCAAACAGCCCTCCACGGTGCCATCCTGCAGAAATCTAGGGTTCAGTACAGCCGCCGTGCCGGATGCAGATAAAATACAGACCTCTTCACTACAAAAGAAAAAATAAGAACAAGTTCATATTTTCAGGCAGAATAACCTTGGGAAATTCTAAATATTGAAACAATTATAAAAGTGACAAATTTAAGATCAAGGTAGACTTCTTCTAAGTATTAGTAAAATTTAGAAGGAAGGTTACCTCCCAAATCTAGGTTACAAAATAAAATATAACTTGATTAGAATGAAGAGGGCAAACATTCTTTATAAAGATTTTAAAGATGATGAAATATATTATTAAGGATAACAGCTGTCTTTAAAATATGTTAAGGCTAAAAGACTGAAATGTTTCAAAATATAAGCAATAACAAATTATACTGTTGAATATGAAAATAAATCATTCAGTTATATTAAAATACTCTAAATGGACACTAAGTATTACTAAAATTCCAAAAGCATAACTATGTAAATATCTATATTGTTATTGCTTAATCTAAATCTAAGTAAGTTACAAAGGTATTTAAAATAATATCCAAAATATACTAAATGGAGTTTAAACTACATCTTTATATAAATGATAGAAAACTATTTCAAAAAAGTTCTTTGAAACTCTATTACATACCACCAATAGAAATGCTAAAAAATTTAAATAATCAAAATAATTATTAGATGAGATCATCCAAAGCAAATGACAAAAGTAGCATCCTAGGAACGAAGTGCTGGAAACTAGGTGTAAATGGAAGAGACACCTGAACCGAGTCTGGCAGGAGGCCAGGCTTCAATGTAAGTGGACACTGAGGGAAAAAGTGGAGCAACCGAAGGTTTCTGAATCAAGGAGTTACAAGAGCAGAAGTGAATTTCAAAGAGTTTAATCCAGTAAAGAGGATGGATTAGAACAGGAAAAATGAATAAAGATGAGAATTTCAATACAAAGATATTTGTGAGATCTAAAAAGAAAAATAAAATGAACTTTGTCAAAGTAATTCAAACATTTTTTTGAGAGATTTTTGCTATGGGGTGCATGCGCTTGGCCAGAGAGACAGAGAGAGACAAAAAGACAGAGAGGGAGAAATCACCCCCAAGTGGAATGGTCACGCTGCAATCCCTTCTCCAATCTCTTCTCAGGATTTGGAGCACAGGTGTATACATGCACGGCGTGAGTTTCAAGCTTCTGGGGTGGGACTTGAACCATGGTCAACTATGTGGGAGTCCAGCAACTAAACCATTATGCCATCTGTTGGTCCCAGTAATTAAAACTTTAAGGTAAATTAATTGGACTCATTTGTAGACTCTTGTACTGGGACCTGTCTTCATCTATACTAAGTATACACTTTCTGGCCTTCACACTCTATTCCTTTAGCTTTGAACCTCACCCCATGCCTCTTCTCTTCATTTACATCATTTATATTTATACCCCAAGACTGAAAGCAACCATCACTTACTTTACTATTACTTTCTTCCAATCTTACTTCTGACTTCTGGGATTCCAGACCTCTGGGATCCCAAAGCATTGGAGATAGCTCAGTACTAAAATGTATTATATTCGTCATAATTCTCCAGTAGAAAGTATATCTGATGTCTTTTAAAATCATATCCATAGGACCTGAAAGTGTATGGCACTAATGAATGAAGCAAGACTATCTCCCATGGAAAAAGGCAGAATATGCCTGGCAAAGTTAGTAGTTAACAATAATACAAAGCTACTATGGGAATAAGACAATTTCAGAGTGTAATACATGGGCTGTAAATGACAAATAAAATAAAATAAAATGGCCCAAAGAAAATTAAATCGTATAGGTCTGTAATGCTTCATTTATTACAGTTTAATAATTTTTCTCTCACAATAATGATCACAGTAGCAGAGAATCTGGCAGGAAGAATTACCCAAGGAAAGAAAGTCAAAAAATAAGACAGCACAAGGTCAAACAGTTTCTAGATGACATAAATATAAACTTTTGAAGGGAATGAAAGTAGGAGGAGAGCAAAAAGGCAAGTCAGAATATAAAGTAAGGAACTGGTTAGGATAAGGGTCAAAGCACATTAGGTGTAAACGAGCAAATAAGATCAGTGGAATTGTATTACGTTGTGGTCTAAGAGTAAAATTTTTTATTTAAAATGTTTTAAAGTCAAACAATAATGAGGTCAAAATTATGGTTGAAAGTGAGGACAGAGAACCTGAGAATAAGAAACTACAATACCTGGCTGCCAAGAAGAATATAATTATATATAACTGGAGAAGAGAACAGAGAATTAAGAAGCAAAAAAAAATATTATGGAGTTAGATAACAGAATAATAGACTGGCATGAAATTTAAAGGAGAGCGAGGCCATTTAACACAAAGGTAGAAGAAGCAAAAGAAACTGAGACCCAAGAATACAGAAGAAAGCCCCTTCCTACTTTCCCAGGGCTAGGAAAGATGGTTTGTTAGCAGGAGAAAATTACATTACCACTCAGGAAAAGGAGGCAGAGTGAGTTTACCGATAAACTTTAAAGACTCCCAAAGGTCACAGTGGAAAGAGTTAGCAGTCACAAACTTGAATAAAAATGGCCTAGAGTTAACGCGTGCTATGTGACAATATTATACTCTCATTTAATCACCCAACAGCCTCAACTGAGAAGTGGTATTATCTCCAATTTAATGTATAAATTGAGGCTCAGAGGAGCTGAGTAACTGACTGACACAGATTAAGCTTCACAGCAATCATGAACCTTGATCTGATATACCCCAAAGCCCATGCTCCTGACCACTTCACTGTTTTCTTTAATATTTACACGAAGTTTTTCCCCTGTCAGGTGACAATCTAAATTATGGTACCTAGAAAATCAAGCATTGTCATTGTCATTACCAGATGCTAGTCGACTCACTGTAGCCCACAACAGCATGACAGCCTAATGCTTTAGCATGTGATTTTATTTCTTGTCTGATTTCCGCCCACCACGCATCTCGGGTTTCTGGTTCATCTGGAAAATAAATTTTAAATCAGTTCACTACTCAATAACACATTGTATATATGAATAAGAAATGTTTTTGCAAAGAAGACCATGGGAGGTAAACAGTATTGTTCTACAACAGATTTTTCAACTTCAAGTCTTTAAAATGCTACTTCTCAAAACATTTAACCTTTTAAACAGGTTGGAAAACAAACCACCCACCTCTGTTTGCTTTATTACTTTAAGGGACACCTATAAAAATTACCTTATTAGAGACAACTTAAAATATAGATCCAGGGTTTCCAGATTCTAGTCTGTACACAGAATATCCTCTGTTTTAACTTACTGAATGAACGCCTGTACCGTATCCATAAATTTAATTTAAATTCGGATTTCATTTCCTAGTATCTATTTTTTTTTTTTTTTACAACTTACTATATTCTGGGTTCCTTTAAGGTAAAGATTTCTCAATGTTCAAAGACAGAAAGCCAACTATAGGCATCCTTCCACAGAAGGGTGGATCCTAAAGGAACCTGACAAATAGATGGACTAGCCAATTAAAAAAAAAAAAAAGCAAATATAGCTAAAAGATTAATATACATAATTTTGTTAATCTATATGGACAAATTTCAGAGTGAATACTATAAACTCCACGTGTGACTCTGTAATTTAAAAAAATGGCTTATGATCACAGGTTTGTATTTATGACCACAGGGAAGGGCAACAGGGCCAGGGATGGAGAGCTGTAAATGGAGCATCTGGCCCATATACTTCCTTGCATGTCACTTGCACGTGGCTGCAAACTATTGGCAAACAGCGGCTGTAGATTTATAGTAACTTTCTATGTGCAAAGATGTTAAAAACAGAAACAGTTTATAGTTAGCATACCCTGATTTGTTTCTTTTTGTGGCTGATTCCCATTTGGGAACAACCTGACATCGAAAAAACTTACTCAACTTTAAGTAGGATGCTAAGCCCTGGCTGTAAATATTCTATATAAAAGCATGAATAAAACTGAAACAATCCAAACACCTTCTATTTCTGAACTGCAGTACGTTATCCAATTTTCATGGTTTTCAAAATAAGTAAAATAAGTAGAAGCATACTCACTAGTAAAATAGTGAAGACAGCAAAGTAAAGAAAGGTTAAGAGGCTTGTGATTAGCCCACATTCCTATGATGTGATTTTGCTTCCTCCACAGGGAGGATATCCGCGAAAGGAAGGAAGGAGATAAAAGCAGAACTACGAATGATGACAGCCAGCTCTCTTGAGTTAAAATTTTGGATCCAAGACAGAGCTACCCTAAAACTTTCTTTCAGAAGAGAAGAAGAAAGGCAAACTTCAGGAAACTGAGGGAAAGATCAAAGTACAAGAACAAATAAGGAAGATAGAGAAATAGGAAAGACTACAATATGGTGGTAGCAATCAATATTATGAATTCAGAAATGTGTGAAAACAACTAGATGACCTTATTTTGCACATACACTACTGTGTTAAAGGACTCCCTCATATTTTTTAAGTGAAATGGATACACTAACAGCAGAGATACAAGTTCAAATACAATCTCTCTTTGTGTTCTAAGATGTTCATGCTTGTGGACCAATTTGAATATCCACCAAAAGGAAATCTCTATATTGCTAAGACAAACTATTATTCAAGTAATTGCTCTACTCTATCAAATTATTTATGATTCTGAGACAATACATATAACAAATAATGACATACCTCAGTTAAGAAAATAATTATTTAGCTGAAAAATTGCATCAAATTAAAAGTCTAACTTTCTTAAACTCACTAGTGGGACCTGCTATTTACTTTTTAAACCATTCTGGAAGCTTATTATTTTCGAAAGCAAAAAACTGTATACTATGTTTTTATAAGAATAGATTTTTTTCACATTAAGTTTGCCTACGTCTGTACCATAGGTAATGTGTGGTAATTTTTTCTATTTTAAAAATGAATTTTAAAGGAAGTAATCCACAACATTGCTTTTTTAGATTAATGAAAAATGGAGAGAGCTACTTATTTTAAGTTTGAAATATACTTATTTACAAAGGATGAGCATATCTAAATGGAAAACTATGTAATATTTCCTGCCAGATGAGTGTAACCACATAGAATACAAAGTTCATTTACATCAAACTTACCTTGGTATCACACATAAAATAATCAGATAATTAAACCAAACACTATGAGAATAAGTGGCTAATATTTAAAAAAAGAAACGAAAAACAAAAAAAGCTGAATGCAGCGCAAGTGGAACATTCATAGTCTTCTGACAAACTTACAAGCAGCCTTTATTTTGACACGAGCCACACAACTGCACATGGGGATGCCATTACTGTATTTAGTAACGTATTTACAAGTATAATAAATAGCTAAAGAGTTACATAACATGGGAGCTAAGGAAGCAAATGGCATATGTCCACACTTAATAGAATTTCTTCAATTTGGTTTGTGGCTAAAGCAAAAGCTCAAAGGACGAAGGGATTGCGAAGCAGATTCAGCATACAGGAGCCAGAAACGGTGGATATTTTGGCGCATGCTTGGATCAGGTGACAGTACAGACTGAAAACTATGGCAGCTCACTGAAATGGTTACAGAAAGTAATGGCCCTAGATTCTCGGTGAAGCAAGGCAAGCGTACAGTAGGGAGCAGATCATCACACACTAGTCATTGTACTAACGATAATTATCTACAATTAGAAGCAAGAAGCCAAAGGATGAGTTTTTTGGCTATTAAATTTATGATTACTTAATTAAAATCAGTTTATTTAATATTAAAGCTAAATTTATCACAAGGCCTATTTATACTCATGCCAAAGATGAACCAGAGAATCTTCAATTATTAATTATAATTCAGCCAAACTTTCTACAATAAAAATTCAGAAAAATGACAGTATTTAATTTCTGTAGTATTTTTAAGGTTTAAAACTTGTTGACTATCATGTCACAGGAAAGCACTAGTGAATCTGTTTTATTGACCCTATTAAGAAAGCACAAAATTAAAGTACTATCATAGTTATAAAAAAGGCAAAACAGAGACTGGTTAAAAATGTATGGCAACCATACACGCCACACGTGAAGCTGGATAATCCTTAGTTAATTAAATGATATACAGCTGAGATGTGAGGTCATATTTAACAAACATTTCAACAATGTTAAGAAAAAAAAGCCTCTTTGCTTTAAATACCATCCTCTTCCCCAAAACCTATAGCATTCATCATTATAAAACAGGCATAATTTTAAGAAAAATGAAAGATTATTATCTAAATCCTATCTCATACTATTTTATGTTCTTCTTCTATAGGTCAAAACTCTTCATAGATAATATCACAAATCTTTTAATATATCCTTTTAATTACTGGCACAAACTGAGCTTTAAACCAAACACCTCACTGGGGGGCAATGGTGGCACCCTTGTGCTGGTATCAAAATAACTCACTGTTACTACTGTTACTTTTCTAGAGCATGGCCACGGCTTGATATCTTGCCATCTTTTTAGCATTGTATCTTACTTCTGAAGTACAGATCAAAGTGGTAAACATTACTAAAATGACAGTTCATAAAGCTCAGAAACTAAAGGAGCAACTCAACATAATATGCCTCTAATGAACTGAATCCCTTTGACATTTTAGGCAGTCGCACACTTGCAACTGAGGAACACTGACTACCTGAAATGTTAAGTTTAGCTCTCTTTTCACATAGCTCCGGAAGAGAATAACTCTGCTCTGGAGGATCTTTTAATCTGGTTGAAAGAAAAAAGGAAAACGTTATTTAATCCAATTTTAAAATGAATAAGAGGAGATAAGGTGTAGGTTGGATCAAATAGGTTTTAAATACAAGGATAATCTATCCTGTTAAGACATCATGAGAAGCTATATTCTCAAATAGCTGACAGTAATATTTCAACCTCTTAAAGAAGATACATTTCCCCCAATGAAACAGAAGTTAAAGAGTTCAGGTTCAAGGAAGTATACAGCCTCAAACGGGGTGGGTCATCAGGGACAGCTAGGAAGAAGATCTCTCACTACAGAGGAAGTGAAAGGAAGTGGAGTGTTAGGATGGTAGCTGGGCTATACTCCATGTTGAACCGAACTGGAGTCTACTAATTATAAAAACAAAGTAAGATATAGAATCAGCCCCTTAACTGTAAAATGCCACTCTTTATAAGCAAAATGTAACTGGATGTTCACTTTTCCAAAATCACTTAGAATATTTTGGGTCACTGAAAAAGTCATGATGTACTTTTCTGTTTTTCTATGCAAAAATGCATCATGACTTTTCCAATGACCCAACAGCAAAGCTTCCATACATAAGCTATATTTATGCCTTTTTGAATTCTACTTCCTGAAAATCTTATTAAAATGCTAAGACGTAAAAGCTGCTTAGCTATTTTAGGCTTAGTTTGCATATCTGCTTATGAGTACCCATCAGATACAGTACAAAGAATAATTGCTGAAATCATCAGAATTCAAGTTTCAAGACAGCCTACCACTTATCTCCCCTTAACTAATACACACACCAAAACAGCAGAATTCACCTAGAATGCGTGTATGAAAGAGCGTGTGGGTTTTCAATAGTGTGCCCAGTGCCCAACACAGAGCTCAACACAAGGGAGGTACTCCATAAACATCCACTGGATAAAGGATTTTTACTTAAAACTAAAAAAAAATAAAGTTTAAAATATTAATTTAGATAAACAAACTGATATGTATATTTGTTAAATATATTTCCTTACACAAAAGGCTACTCGCATTTTGTGAAAAATACTCTGTAAAGGGGCCAGCAGATGGTGGGCAGGTTAAGGCAGCTGGAGCCCACATGGCCAGCTGAGTGGTTCCAGTCCTAGACCCAGCAGCTTGAAAATTACACCAGGTGTGTGTGCACGTGTGCCTAAAATCCCAAGAGCAGGAAGAAAAGGAACTAAATCACGGCCATCACCCCTGGGAGGAGTGGTTTCTCACTTTCTTTCTCTCTCTTTTTCTCTGTCTCTCTCCCACGAGAGCCCATGCCCTACATAAAAATTTTTTTTAAAAATGTAAAAAATTCTGTAAAGCAGTAATTATGCTAACCAACCTTTTCTAGGTGTTTTAACTATTAATTCTTTTCCAATACCTCTGCAGTTTACTAAGGTAGGCCAACATAATACTCATTATTTAAGCATTTATTACACATTTTCAGTGATGTTCAGTTTCTGAATTATTTTTCCATAATTAAGCTGGCATAGGCACATTGGTTTGTATTTTATTGAAAACACATATCTTTAGGACACAGATAGGAACAAGTATAATTTATAAATGTCACAAAAATGATTCCAAATCTTAGCTAATGTCTTTCCTGCATTACAATCACTCATTTAGTCTTGATTGACAACAGAGACCAGAACAGACACTTCAACCTGACTGTGTGAGGTTTGGGTGACTCAGATGTATTCATTTCTGCTCCCAAATAACATAAATTTTCTAAACAACTGCAATTCTGATGACTAACAAAAAAGAATATCACTTTCTAATTCCAAACCACTAATCTAAAGATTGCCTTATCACTACTACAAGTTTACAACAAGATGCACGTTCATGATAAGGGCCAGCTGGAACTTGGGGGTGGATCGTGGCATGAAGAATTTGCTGGTGGTGGCTGCCTCCCTCTCTGTCTTTCTCACGGAGGAAATTAAAAGAAAAAAACTTTATTTCACTTTCAACAACTAATTTTACTAACTCAGAACTTAAAACATCAGTTCAAAAAGATTGTCTAAGTTTGGAAACTAGTTCAAATCAATATATGACTACATTTTAAAGCTAGGCTACACAACTGTATTTCCTCTTACCACTTCCTAAAAAAAAAAAAAAATATGTAAGCTGACATGCATGGCATACAGAAAAAGAATAGCAGTTTCCTAAAGTATACTAAGACCACTATTAAAAATCTATGCATGGGCCACTCAGAAATACTTTTAGCAGTAACTTATAAAAAAAACAAATTAGGTCCAAATAATGGGACAGTGGTATCACATGTGGACCTACACGGAAGGCTCCTAGTTTACACCCCAGGCCTCCTTCTGCATACCAGGTGCACAGGTGTGTGCCGATGATCTGCACTGGCTGAGGGTGGGACTGGCCCACAGTGTAAAAACTGGGGCACCAACTGCTCTCTCTCATGGAAAAAAACAAAAACAAAAACAAAAACAAAAAAACATTATTTAAAAAAAAACCAAACTATACCCATTTGAGAAACAATGAACTAGAACTATTAAAATATTTTTACAACTCAATTCCCAAACCTGAGTTTCTTCCAAATAACAGGACTTAATTGGTCTCTAAAATTTAGACTTTTAGGTATGTAAGATAATTTCTCTCTCTCTCAGCTAAAAGCTGACAAGAGCCTGCTTCACATGCCACATTCCACTGTTACTAAGTATTGCTGGTAAGTATTTCACTAACTTACAGTTAAGAGTGTAGGGCTGGAGGACAGAGTACTCAGGTTCAAATTGTGGCTCAATTTCTAACTATTCACCTTGAGAAAACTATTGCTTCATTTGTTCACATAGAAAATGGGATTATTGCCTGACCCAGAGATCTGTTTGAGGATTACATGACCTACTTTCTAAAGCACTCAGGAGAGAACCTGGTACATATTATGCGTGATAAAATTAACTTTCCTATCATCACTAAACCCTAGGTCATCTATTGGGCCAGGACTGCTACGGAGTCCACTAACTGGTTTCCCTGTCTCTCATTTCATGACCTTTAAATCCATTCTTCATCCTATAGTCAATGATCTGATGCAAACATTAACCATGGGCTACCTGTCCTACATCTATGCCCTTCTGTCCCTGACATGTCACATACAAGACTTGGAAATGCTACATGTTACAGGAAGATTATTAATTTTGCCTTTCTCAAAGTCTGTTACCAGGGCAAAACATAAGAAACAAAGTAAGAGGTAAAACTTTAAAAACAAATTCTCAGATACTGAGTTCCCTTTTTCTGCTGTATAAATAGCAAGGTAGGAAAAAGGAGACAGAAAAGAAAGCTAAACTAACCAAGATCTATGAAGTATCTATGTAAACATTATCAACCAAACACTGCCTAAGAGTCTGTCTTAAAAATGCCAGAAGTTTCAGAATCACGCTAGAAGTCTGCATTAACCTGGATCTAAATATGCTGCCTGAGATATAAACCTATCTGACTCTCCTCAATATCCTTCACAGCCAAGTACAAGAATTAACAGCTCTATAAGCTTCCCTCACACACAGAGTTCATGATGCTCTCTCTCCTTTTTAACTCTGTATCTTGTATTTATTATACCATACCACACAGGAAAAGCATGCAATGCTCTTTCTGTCCTCCAGAATAGCAGCTTCATGAAGGCAGAGGGACCAGCATCTTGGCATCCTAGTATCCAGCAAACTGTACAGCACAAAACAGATTCTAATATATGCTTGCATGATACATATTTTATGAATTCATTGTGACATTTTCACATTTTAATGTTGCTGAAATGAGAACACCTAATAATATTTAATATGGCAGTGTTTCTTTTCCTTTTCTCTTGAAAGGCTAGTATTAAGTTGATGATGCATCATATAACATAATTTCAGGGAACCCAGGGAGTATACAATGAATGAAGATTTTAGCATTAATAAAATAATATCAACCATGTTTTTTCTTACTAATGTGGTCAATTCTTAATTTTCTATGTCCATATAGGATAGTAATGGGAAAATATTTCCAAATTATAGAGAATACGTAAGTGATTTGAATTTATTTACCAAATATGTCACATTTTTCTCAGAATTATCAAGTTATAGCAAAATCAGTGTTATTTCTGAAGGTGTGTGTCACATTTTTCTCAGAATTATCAAGTTATATTGCCTAAACTAATAGCAAAATCAGTGTTATTTCTGAAGGTGTACCAATTGTTGCCAAGAAATACCTCAATCAAAAGTTTATATACTAATATGAAGGGTCTTCAAAAAATTCAAAGAAAGTGTCTATTATGAAAAAAACCTACACATCAATTTCAAAAACTTTTTGCACCAAAACAAACTTTTTTAATGCCATTTCTCTACAAACAGTTTGAAGTCACCTCATATCCTTAGTAAGCTTTAATGCTCAGATCATAAAACTGAGTCATCTTTTATGTTCTTTAATGTTCTGTGACATATCTATCTTTTCTCTTCATAAACTTCCTACCAAACACTACCTTAAATGATGGCAAGATATACTGCTCCTCAACCATGTTTCTCTTTGCCAAACTGTAAATACTGCTGACTTGAGATGATGTCTTTAGTATGTCTAAGAGATTTAATTGTTGACTTTTCGACTTGCCAATACTTGTTTCATCACCTGAACAATAAACATCTCACCTTAACTCTCTATCCTGACAAGATTTCAGTTCATTACATTATTTTTGATCAATCTATTTTCATTTTTTTTATTTTTTAGGTTTTTGTCATAGGGTGCATGAACTTGCTAAAGAGATAAGAGACAGAGAAGGGGAAAGTGAGAAACTACTCCCCAGGGGAAATGGCCACATCACAATTTCTTTTCCTCCATTCTCTTCTTGGGATTCTGGACACACATGCCCAAGAGTGCAGAATGATTTTCAAGTTGTTAGTCCAGGACTTGAACCATGGTTGGCCGTATGGGAATCCAACACCCTAATTATACAACAGGAGGTCAGCATGCCCCAATCAATATTTTCCTTCTGTCTACCCTTTTCTTTTCCTACTATGCTAATATATCCCTGCATTCTTACTTTTTAAAAAGAATATTCTTACTTTTGTAAAATGAATCCAGCAGCTTATTTTTAAATTTCTCACTAAAAATCAATTATAAAATACTATACTAAAAAATGGCAATTTAAACTCTGATCAATGATATAATGCTGGCAAAATCTAAGGTAAGAAATAGACTTTTCCTACAGAATTATGGCTTGATAACCATTCCACATATGCAAAGCTTGACTTGATCAGATTGTTTATCAGACTGAAAATCTGCAATGATAGTAGGAGTTATTTCATAGGTAAATAAGCATTACTTACATCAGAACTTACTCTCGGACTCTGAAGAGCAAAACAAACTTTACAATACTGAAAAGATTATGGGATATTATCTAAAATGTTAAGCCCCTTGTTGTTTCTATTTTTCTATAAGATATACTTTCTCACACAGGAACTGAAAAATTTCTCTAGGCAAAGTATCATGGACTGATACTGAGCCCGAATGATTCCATTATGAAAAGAATATGTGTTTATCACAAAGAAAACTTAATCGATTTGACTCTAAACACATCATCAGCTGTAAAGTTCTCCACCTTAATTTAGTTTCTTTAAAAGCTACCAACTATCTCCATATGTAAAATTATATTTTCATATGGAAAGGAAAAAGAGAGAGCTTAAAAAAGTAGTTAATCCTCTCAAAAATGTGCTCTTAGTTACCAGATTTTGGAACACTTCTAGAATTATAAATAAAAATGCTAACAGTTACACTTTTATGGTATTTTATAGAATACTAAATATGTTCTATTCAAATCTAAATATGCAATTTAAATATACTTTAAGTAATTTATCAACTAGTCATTCAATACTTATAATTAAAAAATATTTGCTTAATCATAAAGCTAATTCCTATGTCACTTACCAGGTATGAAAACAAAACTGTCCAAATATAATAAATATCACTTAAATGATCTCTGAGAAAGTTAATCATCTAAAAAAGTCACTCATAAATTATGGTATTTCTATGGTTTGGTTAATTCATTTTAATTAATACATTTTTAGATTTGCATTTTCATGGAAATTACAAGAATTATTATATATGTATTGCAGAATGTATCAGTATAATTGAATTGGCAAATCTATTTATTCTAGAACATTTCTAAAAACTTCACTGAGCTGCCATAATTTTTGTCAGCATATGTAGTACTGAATGACCATTAAAATACCTGAATTGAAACTATTCCAGTCTAGTAGTTTGTAAGATCTTGTGTTACCCATAATTCCGACAAAGGCTGAGTTCAAAACAGCAAATTAGTAGATCAGTTTTAGGTGCAGAATAGTAGGAATAAAACAAAAAACACTACAAACAAGAACACAATTGACCACACCACTCGACAGGAACTGGAAAGACACAGACAGCAGAGTTAATAAGAAATAGATATAGAAAGGAAAGAAGAAGCATGCTACAGTAATCTAACATTAACTAGTCTAATCATTTAAGGAAATTACCTGGATTTTTAAAACCACCCCTTTTATTCCCTTGTATGTTCCTGTTTGCTTAATATTTAACAATGAAGGAAGTTCTTTAAAAAACTCCAAAATAATAATCCATAGACTTAGCAGGTGGTAGTGGTTTTAAAATAAGATTTTTTTTTTTGCCTTCTACACTGAGAGAGAAATAAAACTTTCTTGTATTTACTAGTCAAAAATAGCTGCAAGATTCATTTGAGAGTGCAAACACAACATTTTTAACATTAGCACATGCATCTCAATCCATCATAAATTTCTCACAATAGAGTAACTCAGTGTCACAAGATTAACATATCATTATTGTAGATGCTAATGTAGAGCTTTGTTTTGCTTAACGTTCAGCTTTTTTCAACAAATTAATATTTTTTCATAATTATTTAAGAAGTCTAGAGACTAATAAATGTCCTTAAGAAAATGTTTTTTTTCAGTGCATAATAACACACATAAAGAACATGCTATCATAAATCAAAATAATACAATATTGGAATGATTAGTATATACTACTATGTATTTAACTGAAAATAAAACAAAATGAAACTATAACTCATACATTAAAAGCATTTATATGTATATGTCCATAACTTTTGGGGAAATAGTCTACAAATAACTGAGAATCTCTAATGTGAATTGAAAAAATATTCTGAAAGGGGCTGAGGGAGCGAGAATGATGCACTGTAATTACAATAAACAAACACCCTTTGTAATAAGGATTCCAGTTTTCCTCCCTCAGCCTGAATTCTTACACTTCATACACAGCTAGACTGAACTAGCAGGTAAAATAAACCCCAAAGAGCAGTTTGGTGGGTTTTTTGTTCTTGTTTTCATTTTTTTTTTTTGTAAGAAGAAGCAATATTTTAAACATAGCTCTCTACTTATATTTATTTAAATAAATTTCATTTGTTCTTCCAGACTCTACAGCTTACTCAGAGTACATGGAAGAAATAAAGTAAAATCAAAATGTTTATAGTAAATAGAAGACATCGTCAACAACTGAATATATTCCTGAAAGCACTGATGGAGCTATCATATTAGTAAGTGTCAGCTATTAAAACATTTCAGTCATATTTCGGTCCACAGAAACATAGGTAAGTAGCCATGGTACACACAGTCAATGTCAGCTATCTTAGCTCAGGATTTCCTTGGACTAACCAAATAATTCATGTTTCTAACACAAACATGTAGACCTTCCTTCACAGAGTCTTTAACATCTCAATACATTAAACTAGTATCAATCAGAATTTTCCTTTAAATACTGCAGAATATACAAATGTTATAATGAAGAAAAGATCTTAAACTGACCAGAAAAATAACAAACAGTTGGGGGAAAATGAGAGAAGAAAAAGAGACTAGTGCTTATAAGATATTAGCTCGGCTGTAGAGTCAGAAAATCCAGGCTAGTACTACTTTTCTAAAAATCTCAGTCGGGATCTAGAAGAATCCATTCTGCTTCTCTGTAATTAACTCGAATGACATCAAACCATAGGGCACAGATTTAAGTTACTAAAAAACTTTAAAGAATGGTAATAATCTGTGTCCTCCAAATTACTACCTGTTTTTCCATCCAATAATTTTAAAGTATTTTGCTCTTCTTTTCAAAATGTTAGTGTAAGCCTCCTGAAGTGGTTATTGGAAGTGACAATTCAAATTTTTAAAAAATGTATGTGTACATATAGCCAATAAGAATACTAGGTAAAACTTCAGTTTAATATGTCATCAAAATAACTGATGTGTAAATAACTGAGATGACTCAATAAGAGATGCAAGAACACATTCCATATAGAAAGCTTCTACCATTTATGACACCTACGTTAGATTCAGAAAAAACATCAGAGAATTTCTAACCCAAGAGACTGAAATTACTGGGCTTTGCTGCCTATCTTTTTTTTTTTTTTATAATTATGGTCCCATTCTTTAAAGAAATGAGCTACTATTCTTACTCATTTGCTTATATAGAACAAATAGCTACATAAAAGAAACCAAAGTAGATATTAGTTTTTTTGTTAATTTGTAAATATGCAGGGGTCTTCAAAAATTACCAGAAAATGTATATTATGAAAAATACTTTTCTACCAAATAAACTTGTACTTTAATTCTATTTTTCCACAAACTTTTTGAAGTCCTCTTGTATACCACACAATGTTTACAACTAGATTTCAAAAGAATTCTACTTTTAGAAACAAAGAAATTAAAATAACCTATGAAGAGCTACTGCTAGAGGAAAAAAATTAACATCTTAATACTCATTATGATCAACTTGTGATTTATTGTTTTTAATCTCCCAGGTTCAAAATCATAGCTGACTCAAAAGTTATTTAAGGAGTCCCTCCAAGTGATACCTTGGCCAAAAATAAATCAAGATTGTTTGTGTATTCTGTACAGAAAAATAACTAAAATATATTTTTAATTACAATTACTGCAAATATTTTAAAGTAATATGTCAGTTTACACTTTCTTTTCATTTCCCTTTTCAGATAGGTTTGGCTAAAAAAAATTATAAAAATCAATTTTATAATCACACTTTATAGGAATATTGAAAATAAAGTTCTAAAGAACTTACCAGGATTGTGGATACGATCCAAAAGCTTCACAGAACGTGCACTAACAACACCCCCAACATGTACAAGAAATCCGGGAGGAAATGCCGTCAAGGTAAAAAATGGAAATTCCTAGTAGAAAGAATGGGGAAAAATACAACTGACCATATGCTTGTTAAAAGCTTGTCATAAGAAAATACGTTCTATCCTTTGAAATACGAGGATATTCATCAACATAACACATACTTTTTAAGTTAGTTTTAAGTATTTAGAGTTCCAAATCCATTTTCCCATATAAACAATTCTATACAGAACTCAAATACCCTTTTAATCAATCCTCAATGAGAAAAGATGTTCTTAAAGTTCCAATTTGAGATAACTGATGCACTCACTCTTACTTCCGAACCTCCTACTCTGATGCCACATCGCAAGGACATACGAGGGCTGCACTGTCCATATCCTACATATTTCTCAGTGGTGACGATGACCCTCCACCCCTCTCTCTCTCTCTGTCTCTCTCTCTCTCTCTCTCACACACACACACACACACACACACAATAAGTTACTGATAAAGACTTTAAAAGCCAGAGATAGATTTGAAAGAAAATGGGACTTAGGGAATGAGAGCAAGAGAATGAGCAGTGTGGGGTAAGAAAATGGGGTAAGGAATGTAAGAGAGGATAAGGGCGAATGTCAAGTTAAGGCAGGTAGAGAATCACTAAGTGCAATTATTTACTCTAACAACAGCAGCAGGAGCAAATCCAAGTACCTAAGTGCACATTAAGGAGAGACGTATAAAGATAAAAGCTGGGGAGGCAATAAAATCCCACAAGTTCTTCCAAGCTTTATTCTTGATATCTAATGTGTCTGATTACAAGACTCATGTGGCTCACTAAATTGGAAGAAACTTATCAATAGTCTCAGCTATCCTGAATATAACTGAGAACTGGAAAATAAGCAAAATAGGGCTTTCGATGGTCAAAAGAAGGGCTATGGCTCCAAGAACTATGGCTCATACACTTTATTCATAGGAGATCCACAGATCATATTTGTAATGAGAAATATACAGGCTGAGCACCCCTAATCTGGAAATCTAAAAATGCTCCAAAATGCAAAACTTATGCATGTCAACATGATCTCACAAGTGGAAAACTCTGTATCTGACCTAGTGATAGGTCATGTGATGTTACAAATATTGTATAAATGTATCTTCAGGATATCTATAAGTGCTTATGAAACATAAATAAATTTTATGTTCAGACCTGGGTTTCATCCCCCAAATATCTTATTATGATATGCAACATCCACAAATCCCCCCAAAAATTAGAAATCCAAAATACTTCTGGTCTCAAGCATTTCATATAAAGGATATTTAACCTGTAGTAGTTATAATATAAATATATATTTTAAAAACACAGAATTCTAAAATTCATCATTATTGTTTATCACAGCATTTTAAACGCAACAAATAAAAGCTGGAAGAGAAAGAGATAGACTATACTAAAAGCAGGCACATTAAAAGCAGCAGTATTACTGACTGGCTGCTTAAAGCGTGGCGAATACAAGCTTACAAAAGCATAATGCACAAAGCATAGCACCTTGGAATCATTTAGCATAAAGGCAATCCATACTATACACTCCACTGATCCATTAAGGTAGAGTATAAAAAAATGTATGTGTGTGTGTATGTGTGTGTATTTAAAAATAAACTCAGAATTTTGAATCAATCTTAAAATGAACAAGGGCAAGACAAATCTAGACTATGCCAAAAAAAAAAAAAAGGAGAAGAAGAAAGAAAGAAAGAAAGAAAGAAAGAGTAAAAACTAGTCTACGGAAGTGGTTGGATTTTGCCCAGGTGTCAGGAATAGCAAAAGGAGAGGGAGAGAATGGAAGGGGAATGTGTTTATATTATCTAAATAAAATATAAAACATTTAGTAAAAATACATTCTTATTTCTATCTGAACTTTTCTGATACAAGTTTTAAATGAAAAATTATTAATAAGCTTTTGCTTATTTGAAATGTATTTTTCCTAATGAGTTAGGTATATTTTAGTTTTTCTTTTAAATTTTAAGAATACTTAAATTTTTAAACGTCCTCAAAATATTTGGGGCATGCAATGGTCCCATACTATAAAAAAAAGCCTTTTACGTACAATATTCATACTGAAGTTTCCTAAATATCTAAATAAGAGGCACTGAAGATAAT